GGAGTGCGTTTCAAGATCACACCCGACAAGACAACAAACACGATTGTCATGTCTAGCTTGGGTGTTGGATATGTGAACGTGAATAAAAAAGTGACCTAGTTCATTCTAATGAGTTATCCAGGACAGTCGTGACGTTTTCTACAAATCTCAAATCTTCTAGAAATGGTATCAAATCGAGCAGCTCGGTGTCATTTGGATCATCAAACCAAGTTGTCACAGGGATGGCGTTGGCTGGGTGGAACATGTAGCACGAAGGCGAATTGTCTATGATGATGGTGCTTTTCAAGTCACGGCCTAGAAGCGATAGATCCTACAGTCAAATGAGATACTTTGACATAGGCACCCTTGTGATGTATGCAGGCTTCACGAAACAGTCGATGACGCACGACTTTGTTCGTGTCCAAGACATCCAACACTGGATCTGCATACTAGAGTCAAAACAAAGACTTTTGACAGACTGGCAGTAAACACGACAATCTCGTAATAAGCTCCGACTGTCTTCAAAAACGTGTCTACTCCCGGCCTCTTGAGGACATATACATTATGAATCGTCTTGTCGATTTCGACTGGAATGATGAAATCTGCTTTTGCTACAGGCTACAATCAAACCAAAGACCTTGAATGAAGAGTGGACGAGCGTCTCATCCAGATCGAGAACGAGGCACTTTTTGCCTAGATCTTGCTGTGCGATAGGCTTGAGAAGTGCTTCTTTGGCATTCTAGATTTAAACTCGAAACGTTTGATCCACCGTGTTTGGTGCTGTGCCTCATTTTTGCTAGTGGGACAATGTCTTCCTCTGCATTTGATGAGCAGCATCCAAAAAAGCTCTGCCAAAGCGACACAGAAAGCGACTTTTTCTTGGGCTCCTTTTGGGATGTTTCAGGCGCAGTTGGCGCAGGAAGAGCATCTTGCGGAGGTCTGGGAGACTGATGAGGCCCCCTGGGTTCGCTATTCTGTGTTGCCACTGTTTTGAGTCTCTAGACCTTGAAGATTCGCGACTCGCTTCTTGGCTGCCTCCAAAGTCTGTGAGGGCTTGACTGCTGAATTTCTATCGACTTGTGTAATCAAATTGTTTGGTTTCGACGCCATGTTCTTGTTTGTGACTTGCGCAATAATCGCTGGTGTAAAATCAGCACTTTTGGTTGGGGTTCGATCTGAAGGTTGGTTTCGTGGTGTTAACGGTCCTGTGGTCGCAATGTTGAGCGACTTTTTGTCAGTTGTTGGAGAGCGAGGCGAAGAAGGCGTCACAAAAGTAGGTGTCTTCAAATCACCATCGGGCTTCGTCAATGGTAGATCTGCGCCAATGTGCTGCTCCTGCAGAATCGGCGCTAGTGGATGGCGATGCGACATTAGAAGAGTCGTACGTCAGTTGGACAAAAAGAGCGTCGGAGATTTTTGAAAACATAACACTCTAGACAATCAACGAATGAGATCGCACTCAATCGCGCACGCGTTCGTACTTGACCTAATGACTTATCTGGACAGATGGGACACGACTCTGACGCTCCTGTTCATCCTGTTGGTTGACATTGTTTCTAGTATTGCACTTGAAACTAGATAACCCACTTGAAATCCTTTTCTTTGGTCTTTCGTCGACAGCTTTTGATCTTCCCGAGTCTTTTCTTGCGAAGGTACTCGCTACTGCAGGTCTCTGGACACTCTCTCGTACGCATTTGAGCAACAAAGCCCTTCTTTTGGTCTCTGTCGCGTCCAGTCATCTGATGCTCCTTCACAGAAATAGACTCGCGCTCCAACGCAACTGGAAAGAAGCCATTCTCTCACTCGGATTGGTTTGCTTGATCTTCACTCGCATCTGGGGCTTTCAATCGCTCGACAATCTGCCAAATTGGTTGGTGCTCGGATCACAGTACAATCTCTCACAAACTGTTCTGGACCAGATTCAATTCTCTTCTGTGTCTATTTACCGAATCTGTAGCAAGATCTGTGATGCGCTTGAACTAGAAACCTTGAAAACACCAAACTTGGTCATCACGTGGATGGATGATAGTTCGATCAAGATCCTTTGCACTGTCCAAGATGCCATCTCTTACAGCATTCACCTGAACGATAAACACATTGGCACCAGCAAAGGCTCAGAAATTCAGATACATGGACTTGAACAGGACACAGAGTACCAGATCTACGTCTCAGCTGCTTACTTTCCACTTTTGGACTTCAAGTCACCCACTCTGCTCTTCAAGACCTTGCCAGCACAACCAATCCAAGGCTCACAAAAGATCGTAGAGGAAGAGCAGACAGAGAAGCTCGAGAAAGTAAGCTATCTGAAGAGAAGAGTGAAGCAGCTCAAAGACGCAAGAGCTGAGGCACAAACAAGGACAACAGAGTTAGAAACAAAGCTGCAGATCCAGCAAAAGCACTTGGAGTCACTCTTACATCTCAAGCAAGAGTATGATGTACAGATCCAGCAATTGGATGCTCACAAGATCGAAGAGATGCATCAGATGCAGTTGCAGGCATCCAAGCAGCTCTCTGGACTGGAGGAACAGACCAGCAGACTCAGGATCCATGGAGATGCACTCAAGAAGCAAATAGAGACCTTGTACCACCAGATGGACAGATTGCGACAGTCAAGCGGCCCAGATATGAGAGAGATGCTTCAGCAACGTGCTCAGCTGGAAGCAGACTCACAGCGACTACAGACGCTGCTGTCGCAGGAGAGTAAGATCAAGATGAGTCTCTTGCAGCAGCTCTCAGCAGCTAAGCGACGCGTGAATCACTTTTGAGACACTAAACTGCTTTCATTTGAAGTGACAGTAGCGGTTCAGATTTTGAGGTGGAACGACTCGTGAAATTTGCCAGTTTTCACTCGACATCAATGCTTGAGCAAGTGGTTGGAATTGTGCAGTCGTACTGGACTTGACGCTAGATGGACAGACATGGATGTCTCTGAACTCAGCAACTGTGCTGATCTCCTGGAACTCAAGAACAGAGCACAAGCATTTCTAAGTGACGATCTGCAAACACGACTGAACCACATGTTGCTTCAGTATGAGGTGAAAACAGAGGAAGTAGACACAAACCATTTGCATGTATTCGATTTTAAATCAGCGCGAGCGAGTCAGCATTGTACAAAGAGCACCAGACGGCTCTTGGCTGTTCTCCAACAGTCAGGACCAGCACTTGGTCACGGATGTCAAGACAACCAAGATCAAACTTGTCGGGAAACACGCCAATCCACCAAACAAGAGCGGAAAGCTTGGAGCAGCAGCACATCCACTCCCATTGATGCTCACAAGAAAGCCAAAGATGGGGATCCAAATCAGACCAGGTTTTCAGTCTCACAAAAGCAGATGTGCTTGATCATGGACCATTCTCTTCCTTTGCACCTGGAACCGACTCGAGCAGGGCTGCACTCTCGTCTGGAGAAACAAACCTGATTCTGAACATGTATCGACATGTGGAGCTACTTCCGTTTGACAAGGAATCGCTGGAACCAGAAACTGTCACAAAGATTTACAAGGGAGAAAAGGATGACAAACTTCCAACACTACCAGTCACTGGAGAGTGGGCACATCCACTCGTAGATCCACCAAAAGACGTTGTCTTTGATCCAGAGAGCCTCAAGAAGATCTCCCCTCTCAACTGGCAGGCAATTCTTGATCTTCCAGAAAAGATTAGAAAGCTGAAGCAAGGAGAGCATCCTAACCAAGTACTGATCAATAATTTACTTGCTGAAAACGCAGAGCTTGTCTTTAATCTGCAGCAGTTTCAAAACGAGCGATTTGAACACAACAAACCCACCATCACACCACAGGAGAAGGAAATGGGTATTGATTTTCAAGATAGCCACAAAGTTACATAGCAATTTGGCTGCCCTGCTCAAGTGGACACCTATTGGAGAACTCGCGTCGAGAGAGCAGATTGAAGATGCGATGAAGATGCTGCCAATCTTCAAGTCTGGCTACCAAGGCACACTGCCACTCAAGAAAAACTATGCCTTCCCATCAAACAATGGTGGTCGCAATGCGTTCACAGTCGATGCAGGCTCACTTCCAGCTGAAGTTCATCTTGCCAAGAAACAAAAGCGATGATCTCCATTAAAGTTTTCCATCGATGCTCTGCGCTGTTGGTCAAATCTGCTCCACACCTTCAATCGTCGAGAACTTGCAAGTTTGTGTGTCACTCATCCAGAAAGCTAGTGCAAGAGGTGCTCGAGTCTTGTTTCTACCAGAAGCAAGCGACTACATTGCTGACTCTCACCAAGCAAGTACCACTACTGATTCAAGACAGTCTTGCGCAAACATTAGATGACTCGTTTGTGACAGAGATCAGAAAGGCTTGTGCAGAACACAAGGTCTGGGTCAGCATTGGCGTGCATGAAAAGGTGATTGGACAAGATCGCTCTTACAACGCACACTTACTCATTGACGACCTTGGATCCATCCAGAGCATCTACCGTAAAATCCACCTCTTTGACGTCGAGATTCCAAACGGACCGATCTTGAAAGAGTCACAGCGCACCATGCCTGGCAAGCACATTGTGCCTCCCATCAGCACACCCATAGGACGCATTGGACTGGGAGTCTGTTACGATCTCAGATTTCCAGAGTTTGCAACACTCTTGCGACAGAAAGGGGCAGATATCTTGACGTTTCCATCCGCTTTTACAGTCAAGACCGGCATGGCACATTGGGATGTGCTCCTAAGAGCCAGAGCTATCGAGAATCAGACTTTTGTCGTTGCAGCAGCACAAGCTGGGCAGCATACACCAAGTCGACAGAGCTACGGCAACGCTTGCATCATTGATCCATGGGGTGTCATCATCGCCAAGTGCTCTGATACTTTTCCATCCCTTGCCATCGCAGACATTGATCTTGATTATCTGGAGCGCGTGAGACAATCCATGCCTGTGCTTGAACACCGGCCATCCATCTACAGCATCATCGAGCGAGTTGATTAAACACTATGAACCTTCTTTGCTGCATTCCACAAAAAGCACAGATCAGAGCAAACGCAAAAAGGAAAAACGAGAAAAGAAATGCGCGAACAGGGAATCGAACCCTGGGCACGTGCTTGGAAGGCAGGTATGTTACCACTACACCACTCGCGCGCTGAATTCGGAGGAATCCTAATATTTCTATTGTTGTGTGACAATGTTTTCAATTGTTTTTTCAAATTTGCTTGCTTGCCTCTCAACTATCTGCTGTATTCACAATCATGGAGCAAGGATCGAGAACGCGAAACAATCAGTGGATGCATGATCTAGTCCTGAGATGGAGCATTGCCAACCAGGAGGATAGATGGACGATTCTGGCTCTTTCCTGAAAAGATGTTCGCACTTTTTGGATTCACACTCTTGCAAACAGTACTTGGGTTGTGGAACAAATCCTTGTATGACCCATCTGTATTCTTTATTCAAGGAGTGGCTGGATGCTTTGTCTGCTTGCTGCTCTCCAGAACACAAAAAGTTGGAACGTCAGTTGGATTCTACGGAATAGTGTCAGCCTTTGGTCTTCAGTTGCTGTATTCAGCTGTTTTGTATGCACTCAGACTCTTGATTGAGAGAGACGAGCGTTTTAGATTTGTGCAGCTGTTCTATCTCACCAATCCAGTGTTGATGATGCTTTTCAGATACAGCGGAGCATTCACAAAGCAACAGTGGATCTTATCTCTTGTGTTGACACTCTCGCTCTTGACAACTTGGATTCAGCCAGATCCAAGCATCTTTCTGCCTCTTGGATTGTTGACATTTGCTTACACTGCATTTCAACTGCTTCATGAGACACTGCTTGGATTGAATGATGATGCATTTGGATTCCAGTGCTGGTTCTTTGGATTTCAAGTCTTGCTGCATGTCTTTTTCGTCGAGAGTGTAGATCTTACCCAGGTTATGGCTGGAATGGCGCTCGCATTGCAGATGGTGTTGATCGTTTTAGTGTACAAGGCATCTGGAGTGGTCGTCAAAGCTGTGGGAGATGCCATCTCTCTTGGATTGCTGAAACTCTTGCAGGGAGAGACACAAGCTTCGGTTGGACTGTTGAGTGCTTATGCGCTCTTGGATGCTTTACCGAAACACACTTACAAACCACTGGAAAAGCAGAAATCAGTCACACACCTCTTGCTGTTTGTGTTTGTGCTGTTTGCAGTGCAGCTGTCGATTGTGGATCTCTCAGCGCTTGGTTTAGAAACAGGAACAGTCTCAAAGATAGAAACACAGCAAGATGGCGCCTATGCACACATCAGTGGAGAAGGCACTGACAACAACATTGCGATCTGTATCAGCGGCAACAAGGCGGAAGCTTTGCTCTTAGATGGCATCTTCCAACACCACAAGAACAACATGTTTACAAAAGACACTGATCTGTTCATGTACATTCAAGTGAACAAGCCCGTGTACAGCTCAAAGCATCAACAGGACTATTTCAAAGGCGATCCACAGCTGGAGTTCTTTAATCTCACAAAACTGCAAGAAATGTACAAACCATGGTTGAAAGATGCGATAGTGGTCTATAATGGCAAGCAAGAGAACGAGGATATTGCCTTTGATGAGTTTCACACGACAATCACACCAGCACGCAAGGAAGGATGGCAGGTTGGAAAGCACATGTTTTACAAGTGGCAGCAGTGTCAAGAGCGATTGATCAGACCATCTGAGCTGAAACGCAGCAAAACCTATGACGTCGTTGTGCGTTTGCGACCAGACATCTACATTCTAGAGCGACCAGATTACAAGATGGTGGAGGAAGACCCACACAAACTCTACACGATTGGTGGCAACTGCACGCTGCATCCAGATGGCAGATTTCTGTACCCACATCCAGGCTCTGCTATCATGGACATGGCCTTCTTTGGCAGTTCAAGGGTCATGCGTCTTGTCAGTAATGTGTATTATCTCCTAATGGGATCACACATGTTCTTTGACTTGGACCAGTCGTTTCCAGAGATGTTCCTTGGCTACTGCATGGACAACATCAAAGTCAAGACCAAATGTGCTGGTTTGCCTTATGATCTGCCAAGAGGCAAGAACTTTGAGTTGGTTTGGACGTGGAAGCATGACTGGGGATTCAATGTCTACACTCCCAAGACAGTTCCCAGGTATTGGGATAAGCAGACTGTCCAGATTGAGAATCCACAGCCAGTTGATTAAACAAATTGTCTTGGCGGACTTTGCACAGACGCGCTCCAAACTGATATGTCTGATAAAGTGAGCAGATACTTGTTTCTGGACGGAATAAGAGGACTTGCTGCTATATTTGTGATATGTGGACATACTAGTAACTTTCATTGGCCAGAGTTCAACATTTTCACACAGTGGGCCTCTCCCTCTGTTCCAGTGTTCTTTGCACTCTCTTCCTTCCTCTTACAGTACAGGTTCCTCAAGGACTGGCACAAGTTGAAGACGTGGCGCCAACAGAATCCAAACGCAACGTATCTGTGGGAAGGCTTGGAGCTGTTCAAGTATCTGATCAGGAGAGTAATGCGTATCATCCCTCTCTACTTCCTTGTAGCTTCTTTTGCTTGCTTGACTGAGTTTGGTCAAGATGCGTATTTCAGACACATGTACGGCAGATTGGACTGGTGGCAGCACATTACCATGCAGCGTGCAGTTCATGTGTTCTGGACCATCCCTGTAGAGTTCCAGGTGCTTCATCTGACAATAGTATTACATGGTCATGCCCATCTTTGGCATCGTCTACTATTTTGCATCCAGATTTGACCTTGGAGACTATGGATACCGCAAAGCACCCAGGTTACACTCGCTTTTGGTCCAAGTTGTCGTGTTTTCTGTTTGCTTTGGAATCATGTTGGGCTATGCACACTATTCGTACATGAACCAAGTTGCAACACCGTCTCAAGAGTTCTACCACATCAAGTACTGGTATGGTGTCTTTTTCCAAGGATCGTTCTTTGGAGCGATCTTTTTTGAGATTGATGAAGCCCATTTACTGCCAGACAAAGTCAAAAAGAGGCAGACCAAGCGATTGTCTGGCATTATTCTGCACTATCTTCCGACGCTCTTTGATATTCTTGCTTGGTGTTTGTTGTTTGGCAATCTGATGACTTCCTGGCCTCACTACTCTCTCTACTTTCCAGATTGGTACATCAATCAGCCCAAATCTTACTTTGGCATCTGGTTTGGACTGATCTTTATCTTTGCTCTGATGAGCGAAGGCACTTTTTGCGACTTCTTTTCGTGGTTCTTCATGACCTATGCTGGCAAGATCTCGTATTCGATGTATCTCTTGCATCCAGTAGCCATTCGACTCTTTTTCTTTTACTTTTTCAAAGACATGGACTATCGCGATGTCTCGCACGATCCAAGCAACGAAAACAACTTTTTTGACAAGTTTGTCTTGGTTTTAGGCATATCTTGGGTCCTAGGCACCATTTCGTATCATCTGGTCGAGCAGCCAAGTCTGTATGCTTGTCGCGTGATCTTGAATCTCCTGCCAAAGCCAAAGAAACAGAATGAGTTGAACAAGCTTGAAGTTTAGTAAATAACTGATTGCCTCTCTACACCACAGCCATGCCAGATCCACTTCAGCCTCCACCGGATCAGAAACTGATTCAGACATTGCCACAAACATCACCACAGCTTCGAATCCTACAGCCAACCAATCCCAACTGTAGAGATAAAAGATTCATATTATCTAGATAACGAGAGTAGTATACTACACATGATCTGCATAGCACCTTTTCCTTACGGAGCGCCAGTATCCCAGCTTCTACAAGAAAAATTGCATCAAGAATAGTCCGAACATTCCACATATATCTCTTACCGCAAATAATACAAACTAACACCTAGATTTCTCGAAAGTCTGTGAATGATGAGCAAACTCAAGATGCACGTTGCTACAAGACATGGAGCCATCGATGGCTGCCAGAGGCTGGTGGATGCATCAGTGGTGACACGATTTAAGATTGAAATCACAGTTGAGAGATATGGCGGTGTGCGCGAGCATGCAATCATGCGTGATTGTGTCAGGAAATCAGATTGTGTTGGCTTCGGACATTGCAAGATAAAGGTATTCTCTGGCGCCAAGACTTCCGTGTTCGGGAGACGACTGCATTCTACACGCTGTCAGTCGCACTGGAAATAGATCTTCAGACTGTCAGACCACACACTCGCTCAATCTCCGTATTGCTGACCGTGAACTGCCGAGATTGACTCTGATGCGGTCCACCAACACCACGACATGGCACCAGATGAAGCACACAATGAGCACCAGACACGCACCATTGTCCGTAGCAAGCGAGGTTTTGAGAGACAAGGTAAGTTTTACAAAGACATCTTGACTCTTGTACACCTGTGGCGTGTTTATGTCAAAATGGAAGGTTACACTAAACGGCTCATGACTTCTGATGACCAGCATCCCATATCAGCACGTCCCATCATCAGTAGGCTTGAGACCGAATGCATGTCTGTGCTGTGAGAGCAAACGGAATGGCTGAGGTTTGGTGAGCATGTCTGCAATCATGTTTACACTTGCCACTTTCTGGATTTGAATGGTCACGTGAATGGAGACATGATCCTTGATGAAGTGATGTTGAATGGCAATGTGCCTTGTCCTTGGTGGCTGATTCTGGCTCAGTGCAAGATCAATGTACGCCTTGTTGTCTTCATGAATGATGGTTCAATGCTGCTGGTGAAAACCAAGTTCTTCCATAAGGCTTCTCAACCATATCACCTCTTGTGTGACTGCTGACAGTGCCAAGTACTCTGCTTCGGTGACTGAGAGAGCTGCTGTTTGTTGTACCTTGCTGCACCAAATCACAGGCGTCTTGCCAACAAATACAGCATATCCTGTTCTAGAGCGACTGTTGTCCAGATCGCCACCCCAATCTGAATCAGCAAATGCAGACAGTTCTAAACTCGTCCCATCTATCGACAGGCCGAAGTTTGCAGTCCTTTTCAAGTACTTGACGATCTGTAGAACTGCGTCCCAGTGTGCTGGACCAGGATTGGAAGCACAACGAGCCACAATGCCGACAGCAGTCGCAATGTCGGGTCTAGCGGTGACAGAAATGTAGATGAGACGGCCGACAACATTCTTCCAGGGCACAGCAGCCATTTTTGCTTCTCTTCCAAAGTCTCGGGACAATCGTTCA